GCATGATCAGAGGGCAGGAGAACAGGCCTTATGAGGAGAGGCTGCAAGTTATGGGACTTTTCAGCCTGGAGAAATGCAGGCTCACGGGGGACTTGGTGGCAGCCTATAAGTACATCGGGGGGTGCATCAGGATCTGGGGGACTGTCTGTTCACCAGGGCACCCCAAGAGAAGACAAGGCCCAACGGTCACAAACTCCTGCAAGACCATTTTAGGCTGGACATAAGGAAAAACTTCTTTACTGTCCGAGCCCACAAGGCCTGGAAAAGACGCCCCCCCCTGAGGTGGTGCAAGCACCTACTCTGGACACAAACATTTGGATGCTTATCTTGCTGGGATCCTTTGACCCCAGCTGACTTCCTGCCCCTTGGACTCGATGATCTTCCGAGATCCTTTCCAGCCCTAAAATCTATGACATCTATGAAATGCAGCAGTCCCATAAGTCAGCTTTCTTTTCTGCCCACCACTGATGCTACCAACACAGCTTTTATTAACATGGGCCAAAGCTTTTGGACTCAGTGGAGAGGAGACATCCAGGTTTGAAAATGAAAACAGTTCTACTCATTTTGGATATTTCTTCCCTTCAGTTTGGTGTTTTTTCAAGGCAGGCACAGCAGCTACAGTGGTTTTGGGTTTAAAAAAAATCACCAGTGGAAACAGTGAACATGAAAATGCCTGCAGCCTCCCAAATACTCGCTGAACTCCATGGAGTCAGTGCAAGGCTCAACTCTCTGAGTAGCTGTGCATGCAGCTGCGCACTGTTGCAAAGGGCAATGTGGGAAAATGAGGGTGCAGCGTTTGTACAGACTGGCGATGCCGCTGTTTCAGCCCACAAGTGGACACCACTCAGTCCTGCAGAGCCTGACAGCACAGGGAGATTATTTTAGGTTCATTCTCCCCAGGAACTTGAAGCTACTCAATGGGAATACCTTGAAACAATCAGGTGCAGCTGGTTGGACTCGGGGACCATAATTCACTTCCGCTTCTGTGCAGAGCTGAACGAAGAAATCAAGAAGGAAGCAAAGCTCCCAGCACAGGTGAGAGCAGCACTGAAAGAAGAGGCAGTTTGGGTTCTTGTTACACTGATTTTCCTTGCTGCCGATCATTTAACCTCTCGGAGCCTCTTTCCCATGCACCACCTGGCTGGGAAGAATATGACGTACTCAGCGCTGTATTCAGATTCGATGCACTAGTGAGCGCAGTGTGTTATTTAAATGTTATTCTAGTTTTTGTGGGAACCGCAGCATCTCCAACGGCGAATGACAAAAAGAACAGATCAAATAAAACCACACGGTCCTGAGCCATTCAGTTTTCAGTTCCCCAACATCTCCAGGCCAGAAGAGACAGCACGCCCTGCCCTGAATTTGTGTCAACAGTTGCCCCAATCAACCCAACTGTAAATGGGTACCTGGGCATTGGGTTAACTACATCATTCCCTCAGCTACAGGAACCAGCGCATCGTAAGTAGGTGAATCTCTGACTTTAGCTAGAACAAAAGGCTGAGTCCAGATAGCTGTTCCATTCCTGGCTCTTCTGCAGGACAAATTGTGCACTGTGTAAAGTTAAAACCCCAAAACTTATCCAAGTAACAGACAACTAAACCAGTGCTGACATGAAATAGAGACTTCTGCAATAGCAAAGTTGATGCAAGGTGAGACTCTTTCCATTTTCTACTGCTAGATAGATTCATGTAGCCCTCAATAAAAAAATATCATTTTCTCTTAATGGAGAGTTCTGACTTAGCAAATAGATTTAAAGCAGCAATAAAGACTCGTTCAAAAATGAATGAATCAATCAAGCAATCAAAAAATCAGTTAGACAGAAAACCATCTCAGAATTCCCTGAGCTCTTAAGGAGCGAACATCATCCAGAGTGATTCTGGTCCTACTTCATGCAAAATTATCCCGGGGTTTACATTGTGTGTGGGAGGACTATAAACACACATGAACACAATGTTCAATGATTTCTGCTGGGTATTATGGCTAAAACAAATATGCAATTAAGAGCAATAGTTCTTGTGTGTTTACTGACGAAGGCCAAAAAGAAAAGTTAGAAATGTTGGATCTTTGGACTGCAGTCGCTCTGCCAATTGTTGCAGCAGAGTCAACAGAGAAGGGAACATCTGCGAGGAGAGCAAAAATATATGCTTGGCTTTATGTTAAAGATTTCAAATGAGAGAAATTTGGGTTTATTACTTTCCACGGGTTTTTTGGCCCTGATTGTCAGCGGCTGTAATGTAAAACAACTTCACTCCTACATTGCCAAAAAAACAAATATTTTATCTCTAAATAGACATAGGAGAACATTTGAAAGTTCATACTAATACATTACTTCCATTAACATCAGGAAGTATGTGACTTGATTTCTACCTAAGCCTCTCTGGAATTAATCCATGGAGCCGGTGCTCTTCTTGCGTGCAGGGATGTATGGAGAGCAGCATGTTAGGATAGGGCTCTGGACTGGAAACCGTAAACACTACCTTAGCTCATATGGATCCCAGCATAGGTAAATGCCTGAGTTATTACCAGGGATTTGGGTTTTAAAAATTATAAATTCTCTGATTAAAAAAAAAAAACCAATTCTGTTTTCCTGTGATTAAAATGAAACACCACTGGATATATCGGTATCAGTTGAACACAATGTTTTATTGATATATTTACAATTTGAAAGCAATTTGAAAGCCTATCGCTGCCTCTAGCACTATAATAAAATACATTTTAAATACCTATACATTTTGGTGTTTGATTTTGGGTTTTTTATCATGAAAAATCAGAGAGGTGCCCTGTGCCCACCCAACTGTACAGCTTTAATAGGACACCTAACATTGAGTAGGGGGGAAAGGGGTCATTTGTGCTGGGCACGCCAAAACATCTGCCACACCTTGTGTGTCAAATGACTCGTTAGGGGAGTCTCCGCGCACATCCCAATGGCAGACAACAGCATGCTGTTTTCACCCAAAACAAGACTACACAGTGGATTGTCTTTTGTGTTTAAGGTGCTCATCCATGCTTGATAGGAGACAAAAAGCGTGAGGCACTGAACCTTCAGAGCAATGTAATGTTCAGATTAAAAAAATATGCATTTTTTTCTCAGAAGAAAACTCATTATTTTTCACAGAAAGCATTTTTTTTTTCGTTTAGTTAGAAGGCTCATTTTTTGTTGAAAAAACAGCAAAGTTTTGGACTTACCCTACTCAGCCATTTGAAGGATAGATGTCTGCTTTCCAAACTTGGCCTCCAGAATAAGAATTTCCTTCTGCTGGAAGCTGCAGCTGCTAATGCCAGGGTGCGGAGAGAGCTACAACCTTTTTAGCAGGCTGAGCAATAATCAGCTGCAGCCTCAATAAGCAGAAAGGATGATCAGGGAAGTGGGAACTCACTTCTGCAGAAAGAGATGAAAAGAGTTTGGCTCGTTTAACCCATGAAGGTTGAAGGGAAGTGAGATTATCTGTTATAAATGTGTCATGGGGATGAATGTAAGAGAGGAAAAAGAGCTATTTAAGATAAAAGACAATACTGGTACCAGAAAAATGGGGACATATTGTCATCAACAAATTTAGGCTGGAAATTAGAAGGTGGTTTCTAACTATCAGAGCAGCGAGGGTCTAGAACAGTCTTCTAATAGGACAAATGGGGCAAAAAACTTGAATACATCTAAGATGACATTTATGAAAACATTTAGGTTATGTGATTACCTACCAAAGCAGGAGGCTGAACGTGATGACCCTGGAGGTTCCTTCCAGGGGCATGTTCCGAAAAAGAATATATATCATTTTAGAATTTTATTTTGGCTTGATCCGGGCAACCGAATACCACAACCTAATAACTTCCAGGTCAACGGACTAGTTTTCTGGTCAGGATAATCCTCATTTGCCTTACCATAGCATCAGTTGGGAAGAGTAGGCTTAGCTGTAGTGAAACATCAGAATTCTTGTTCTGTGGCAAATTTGTGATTTCCAAACAATTTTCTTTTCTGTTTCCGAATGAAAAGCAACTTTCCCCACCGTAGGGAAAATTTGGTTGAATAATTTCTAAGTCCTAGCAGACTAAGACCTGGGTGCCAGGGCCGAGCCAGGATCTTTGAAGCTAGGCTTGTGAACTTTTTTTTCTAGAAATATTCAAAATAAAAATGATTCGATTATTTCTAAATATCCATTTTTTCTGATTTTTTCTCTTCCACAGGAAATAGCAATATTACTAACTTGTAATATTACTCACTACTTACTAACTAACTTTCATTGAGACTAACTGTGTAACTGCTGACAGACCCAGGACTCGTACTGGGGTGCCAGGACTCTCTGGGTCCCAGGTCTGCAGCAGGGACCCTGGAAGCCCTGGACAGCCCAAGAGAAAGTGAAAATTGAAACAGATACAAATCTCAACAGATCTGGCCCTTCCCTACATTGGAGACACATCCAGTCTTTATGGACACACTGAGATGCTTCATATGCTTTCTTCTGCATGTTTTAGCAAAAAAATGTAACCATTTTTCATTGGTTCCTCAAATCATCCTTAAATTGATGTGGTGACAAACACACATTTGAAATATTGTATTACTCCTGGTCCTTATGCAAAGCCAACACAGTCCTGGGAGAACATACTGTTATTTATTCTTCCTCAAACACCACCAAAAACAAATCAGTAATAATCTAGGTCCTACTGTTTGCAATGCAGTTTTCACAAGGAGGTCTCAAAGAGAGGAATCCCATAGAAAGCAGTAAAAATTTAGTCCATTGCACAATGGTGTTGCACAATAGTAACCAAAAGCAAATTAAGATAACAGCAGAGTTGCAAAAGTGTCAAAGATAGCGGATGTAAGTTTGTGAAAGTCTTTGTTATTAGCCACGGGGCATCAACAAGAAGCAAAGCAGCTTGACTTTCAGAACAGAAGTTGAATTTGCAGGGTTATTTATGAGAAAAATGACCTTGCTTATTTCTAAATGGAGAGACCCATTTCAGATGCAATAGACTTGAAAATCTATGTTTCCATTTCAGAAGGTAAATTGGGTTTCAATAAAAGCAGACTTTTATTGGCAAGAGTACAAAAATAGAGTAAAAACCTTAGACAAAATGTATCTGAACACAGATGTCTTACACGAGTATTTCTATACATATTGCTTAGTGGGAAACAAACAGAAAATATTAAAATATTGGTACAGGATCTCTGATATACTTAGTTTCCACTGAGCACAGAAAAGTGTGCATATTGTAGGCACCATTACAAATGAAGGTATGGCTTCCTGATTCACTTCCCTAGCTCTGGCCCAGGCCCATGTCAGGATAGCTCGGGGCTTATCCTGTCTTCCATAATGATTGCCAACTCTCCATTGATAATCCACAAATGTCATAAGTGGACTCTTTTTCATTCAAGTCATTAATGGAAATATTGAATAGTACTCGGCCCAGGTCAACCCTTGTAGGACTCCACTTAAATGTCTTCTGAGTTTGATACTGAACCATAAAGAGGTGTTTTGAGTGAGTTTTTTTCCATTGGTTGTGCATCCACCTCAAAATGATTTCTCTGAGACCACATTTCCGTAGTTTACTTATACGAATGTCATCTGGAATCTGGAAAAAAACCATGCTAAAGGCAAGATCTCTCACATCTATTGCGTCTCCCTTATCCACTAGGTCTATTACCCTGTCAAAGGAGGAAATTAGATGAATTCAACACAATTTGGTCTTGACAAATACATGTTGCTTGTTTGAGCTCCTCATTATCATATTTTAAAAATAATTTGTTCTCGTATAATAATTTGTTCCTGTAATTTCTTAAGTTTTCTTTTTTAATTTTTTTAAAAACAGGTATTCTGTTTGCCCTTTTCTAGTTATCTAGGACTTCTCCTGGTCCTCCAGGAGCTTTAAAAAATAATAGCTAATGGTTCAGAGACGGCTTCTTAGAAATGTTATGGTAATGTCAAACATGACATAGGCTCTCTAAGGTTAATATGATACTTGTCAGATTGAAGGGCAGATCTTTTGATGGAGTAAAGGGAAATTCTTCTGTTGATGAGGCATGCTGATTTATGATCTGTAGGCCTAAAGTATCCTTTGGAGGGTGGGATTGAGGATACACTTAATTATACTACAAGGCTATCTCTACAGAGAGGTAACTTTTCATTTCCATTGTTTTATTTCATATTTTATTCCAATTCCATCTGTAAAATTTGTTTTTCATTTCCCATGTATTCTTTACTACCTCTTTTATGCAAACCATGTCATCCTGAGAACAGTAACACTTCTATTATTTCAAAATGTTCTTTCCTTAAAAGGGAAACCTAAATTAGAAAAAAATAATTCTTTTGTCCAAAGTACAGAAGCTGCAATACCTGCTGCGCTGATAACCATATTATACTGATAGACAGTCAAACCTTAAAGATTAAAATTGATTAAATAGGAAACATTTTAACGTGGCTAAATGTCTTCTGGCTGAAGTTGTTTCCATTCATAATTTCCATCCAACGCCAGATCAAAATTTTCCTTCTCTTGCTCTCGAGACAGCTCCAAGAACACCTAAAATACACAACAAAAAAGGTGTAGTTATTTTTCAATGTCAATAATACATCCCTTCACTAACTCTTATTAATCTTTGCAATACCAGTTTATGAGTTTGCAGCTGCCCAACAGGCGAACCCCACTCAGCATGGGCTCTCTGCTGATCGAGATGCACTACACTTCAGAGTGGCAACTACCTAATACTCTGCAAATTGGCTCACTAAACTTTTGGAGTAACGCTTGGGAAAGGCATCGTCTTCTCAGGAGCTCTGTAGATTTCTGATGATGTTGACTCTACATACATTCCCAAAGGCATATTTAAGTCAAACGCTACACAGTGGGAATGCAATACTAGCTATTTATGGTGGCTGTTCACACCGAGATGAGAAGGTGGCATTTCTTTGAGTAGTTTTCATTTCCCTTTGGCTTTCTTATAAGCCTTGCAATAGGGACCGAAACATCATTCGGTCCCTATTGCACCAGGAGTCTGCATATGTGCCCTATATCTAGGCCAAGGGGAGAAGCAGCTGCAGGTCACATTCCCCATGGTGGTGATCGAGGTGATCTGTTCCACGTTGTGAAAAGGACACTTTCCCCTCTTTCTCCCCTATGTGGGTCTGCAGGACAGGCCATGCTCTGCGCCCCATTGCTGGATTTAGCTCTTTTAGGATTTGGAAACCCATCTGTTTCTCCAACACATTTCCTTCTTTTGTCAAAGCCTGATGAACATAGTGTGCTGCCATTGTGTCTCCTAAATTTTATAGCTTGTGTCTCTGCGTGCATCACATGCCTGCATCAAGGTGTTCAAAGAGAAGCTGTACTCCTCGAAGCCGAAAGTTTGTTTGGCTGTGGAGAAATTAAAATATAGTCAAAGAAAATATTATTGCCCTTTTCAGGTGATCTTAGTCTTTTGCTTCTGCTTTCATTCTTACCTGCCTCGAGCTTGGAGAAAGCCTGGGACAGAGGAAGAGCATCTTCCATTGGTATCTTGTAGACCAGCAAAGAAGGAAACCTGTGAGGAAAGAAAAATACATCATCATTTTTTGCCTACCTCCTCAGATTAAGCTTGTGGACCACATTAGGCACATCTCCAATGTGGAAAAGAATGGGAGAGCACTTCACTGTACGGCCACATACCGACCAGACATAACTCTCTCAGCGGCTCATTATCTGGGGAATGTCAATAGACGATCTTGGATTGGGATGTAACATTTGCTGCCAAACTGCAGAGGGAATGATGTACTGAGAAATTCTGCAGGAGACCAGCAGTACATTACCTACACCTATAATGGGACCAGATATATTGGCAGTTACCGCTCTTGACGAGCTGCTTGTGGGAAGATCGTCAGCATTTTGGCATGGAGTTCATCGACTTGCTCAGGGTCATTCACTTTAATTTCCAGTAGGTAACCTTTGCCAAACTTGTTTTTCAGGTACTGAATGGAGCCAATGCACCTGTTAACAAGGGAAGAAGCACGGTATGAAATAGTGATTAGTGGACTTGGCGTTTTCCCACAACTCTCATCTCATAGTGCAGGAAGTATAAGGAATTAACAGGTGCCAAAAAAATCTCTCAGTTCCATGAGAAACACCTTGCTCTTGCTACTGAAGCTATCTTGAAGCCTACCGGAGCTCTCCAGCCACCATGATGGCCACCCGGTCACACACTGCCTCAGCCTCCTCCATGTAGTGGGTTGTCAAAATAGCCCCTTGCTCCTTGTTCTTCAGTGCAGCATGAATTGCTTTCCTAAAACAAAAGGGCTATTACATCACAGGAACAGACAAATGAGTTTTCCTATTGTCCTTTCCCCTCAAAAGGGCAAAAATGATTACTTTGAAAGTATTAACAAATCAATGAATACATAAAGGTACTTTGAAATAATGATACAACTGCACATTTATGAGCAAAACCCATTATAGTTTGTTCCAAAATAACACTTGCTGCAGTGCTGGGTTAATGAGGAGGAACTACTATTAAAAGGCTTTTGCTTTAGCCAAACATATTTTTCTTAGGCCCATGAGAGTTGTTTTCAAGTAAGAGAGTTGTCAAGTGAACAAGGGTACTAACTAGAGCAGGGCTGAACTTGCTTATAAATCTGAGATGCAGACAAGAGCCAAAATTTTGCTTCATACCCTGATTATTTTTCCAGATTATGAGATGTTAAAATGCGAGAAACCCTGTAGAATGGTCAAGGAACCAAAATTATATTAACATGCATTTTAAGACATTATTGCAGCTATGCCAATAACCTAGAGGTTGAGACAAAAGATATAATACATTTCCAAAATTGCTGGGTTCCACAGCTTCCACTGACTTTTCGGTGATTTATAGGTGTGCAGTTGTGGATTTAGAAATTTTAGGTACCCAGTCTCAGCTCCCAGCACTTTTGCACCGTATCAATTTAGTCCTGAGGTGAAGGCCTAATCATTGGCACTGGCAGTACTCACCACACTTGACGTTGGCCTTTAGGGTCCATTCCAGTGGTTGGCTCATCCAAGAGCATAACTGTTGGGTTACCCAGCATGCTCAGGATGAAACACAGCTAAAATGGAAGAAGGATATTGAATGGACAACGTCAGAAAGGTCAGCTGTAATACCCCTGTATGACCAAAGGCAATATTTGGCCCAACATATTGTATGTGCCCGTGACACATCTACCGGGGTCTGAACCCAAGTTCGCACACACACTGGGAGTCATGTTACCCTTAATAACTCTGTACTTATTATATTAAAACATTTTGAGTATCATGCTGTGCAATATTCTGTTGTATAGTATCTGGAATGATATAATTCCTTCTGAAGTGAAGCAGCACAAATAACAGTGTACTATCTCATAGAAAGCAATGCAAATCTTATCCACTTAACTGGGAGCAGAACTACACCTTTTATTCATTAATGTAAGCCTTTTATTCACATATTGAACGTCGCAAGTACTCGTACTGTTTTGTGGAGATAATTCACCCGCCATTACTTTAATGCATTTAATCCCAGACAGAGATTTTACTATGTCTGCAACAAAAATTCAGTCTAAAGCATGGAAGGCTACATGCTGTTCTCATTTATTTCAGTGGCATGTGTGAAGCTTGTCCAGATATCACACTTGCATAAGTGAGAATGCAATTCAATATTCAAATAACGTCACACACACCTTTCTTGTTATGCCAGCGGATAATGTCCTGGTTTCTTTTTTTAAATGCTCCTGGAGCTCCAGAGCCTTCACCATCCTGTAGAGCGAGGAGAAGAAAGAAAGGGAAATGAATGTCTGTTTTCTCCCTAGCAGTCCCCACTTACATGAGACTGGCAGCAAAATGGAAAGAGTTGACACTCCTCCCCGCCTAGGGTTTTGGGGGCAAAACAGGTCCCCTAAGGAAGCCGGCTCCCAGTAAAGAATATTTGAATTTGGTCAAGAGAGGACAGTTTTAAATTTTCTAGTGAAGTTTTTGGTAGAATTTGCCTATTTCCTTCTGTGATCACCACCCCTTTCTATTTGTGTTTCTCAGGGGGACCCTTTGAGAATCAGAATCGCAGCATCTGGGAGAGGGTTCAGCTTCTAGCTGTTGAGTGGCAGGGGAAGGGGGAGCGATGGAGACTCTGGAAACTGGAAATATGTTCTGTTGGTACCGATTGATGGCGACAGCAGCATCTTCTTTCCTCAGCCCTTTCACAGCTGCATAAACCTCCAGATGTTCCTGCACAGTCAGGGTTGGCCAGAGAGGGTTCTCCTGAGGGCAGTAGCCCAGGAAGCCAGGGATGCTGGCTTCCAGTTGAGATCCAGCTGCATCCTTCCCCTTCGCCAGCACCTGCACAAACAACCAGGTATTCTGCTCTTGTGTGATCATTTGATAAATAGGTGGGGCTCAACTACAAGGAAGATTAATGATGGGATCATTGTGGCTTTGTAACAGGAGAATTACTGAGCAGAAAGCACTGCTAGGTAGAGGTGTGCAAAACAGGCCCTATTAGATTCGGATTCAGCCTGAATCAGGGATAGTGATTCAATTCGTTGATTCGGATCATTGTCCCCGATTCAATTCAGCCAAATCCGAATCTGAAGATTCGATGCTGATTCAGAGAATCAGCGATTCAGATGTAGACACAGCTTTAAATGTTTTTTCTACATACTTTGAGGTACCAGGTGTGGCTTGTGCATGCTGCTATGCTGGGCTGGATGAAGCATCCCATAGGAGCATGGGGGGGCCCGGTGTGCTTGGTGGCAAACGAAGAAGTGGACCCAAAGTACTTCCAGTCCACTTCTGGGTCCATCATGGAGAGTGCTGGCCCCGCCTTCCCCCCACGAGTCTCCAGCTCAGCAGTCAGCCACAGAGGGACCCTGGGTGCCCCCCCCCAGGCTCAGGACGCACCAGTCGCCAAGCCAGGGGGGATGGAGTGGGGCTCTGGTGTGCTCCCTGGAAGACCCAGAAGTGGACTGGAAGTGTTTCTGGTTCACTTCCAGGTCTGCTGATGAGCATGCTGGGGACCACCCCCCGTGCTACTGCGGGACACTCCATGTGCCCCAGCATTGCAGAGCTCACAAGCCGCCTGCTACCTAGAGGCATGCAGAAAAAACATTTAAAGCTGTGTCCATGTCCCAATCACTGAATCTTTCCGAATTTCTCTGAATTGATTTAGATGGATCCAATTTGATTCAGAGAGATTAAAGGGTCTCTTGATTCAATTTGGATTCAGAGAATTGCCCACCAAATTGAATCAGGGACTGAAGCTTCGCACAGTCCTACTGCTAGGTAACTGTTGGCCCTGGCATTGTATTTCATTTTCCTGCTGCATCTTTGATGTGCAGGGAAAATAGTTGTACATGTTTATTCTGAGACTTAGGGACTGTAATACGAGTGGCACAAGAGAAGAAAACAATCCAGACATGATACAATTATTTCCAATATTAACAAATGTATGATACTCAGGAGGACTTTATATTTTTGTTTCAAGCGTTCTGATTTTGTTTAGTCTGTGGAAAGTTCGTTCAGCTTGTTAGTGTACAAAACAGACATTCATCGAGTGATTACTTTAACAGATAACAATTTGCACGATTACTTTTCATAGCATGATGTGCAGGGCTAGAAATCTCATCCCAAATATTGCTTTGTTTTACTGTAATGATAACTTAGGAGTAAGCACCGGCCTTTCCACTCACACAGTCACGTCGCAGTCCATTTGCCTCACTCACCTGCCCGGCGCTCAGCGCGGTGTCTCCCGTGATCATATTTATGGTTGTACTTTTTCCAGCTCCGTTGGGTCCCAGCAGTCCTAATACCTCTCCTAGCACAAAGATGAACCAAGTTTCAATCTTTCAATTAGGGAATCGTGAAAATAATTCTAGTAAAAGATTCCTGGGCTCTGACCTCTTCTAACACAGAAAGAGACATTTTTGGTGGCCACTTTCTTCTTTTTCTTAAAAACAGCACTGGCTTTCTTGACCTTATATTCCTTGCGCAGATTGTTGACAATAACAACTGGCTTCTGGGTAGAGGGGGGGGAAAAAGAAAACCCTTTAAAGAGCAAATCTCTTGCATTACACAAAACCGTGGGACGCCCTGTCTGCACTGAGGTGGGAGCACACTCCTCTTAAGCTGCTCCCAGGTTCCCCCTGCCCATTCGCTCTTGCACACATGCTCCAAACGCAGAACTACAATCGTGACAACAGTTCAAGGTGTCCCTTTGCATCCACACTGGAGACCGGGGTCTCTGGCATGCTTGAAAGTGGCTGCTGAGGGCTGACTCCAGAGTGCTGACTCTCTGAGGTAAGGGGGTGGGAACAGGCCAGAAGAGGGGCAGCTCAGTAATGGCTTGGCTGGGGATTGCCCCTGCTGTGGTGTGGACACCTAAAGGAGTTGGTGCGATAGGGATTCAGGCAGGGGTCAGTGCTGGCCCAACAACAGTCTAGACAGCAGCAGAGCTTAGGCAAGGGTCAGATGCCTACGAGACAAACAGGATTGGTCCTGAGCATGTACAGGTAATACTGCAGTCCAAAGAGGAGGCGATGAGGACACTTAGGGGCCTAGAGTGTTTTATGGCAAATGGAGGAGTTCGTCTTTGTACTAAGGCTCTTAATTCCCTCTCAGTCTTGTAAGGAGTCTACTGGACCCATTGAAGTGTGGCCCTAAATGGCACAAAGGCCCTTTATGGCTCTTGCCCTTTCAGCTTGAACATCTTCCTTTTATTCTTCTGTAAGGACACTACAGGACTCATCGAGGTGTGGCCATAAATGGCACAAAGGCATTCAGTGTTAGACTGATAAATGAAGAGTGCCTCTGTCTTCCTCTGTGCTGAGACTAACTATTATGCTTGATATATTACTGGTAGTAACAATAATACAACTCCAAAAGTGTGTGTGATGCTGCCAAAGCTTCATTCATTTTAAATAGTTTGAGACCAAAAATACCCCCAAAAACAAAACAAATGGAACCCCCCCCTCCCTCCGCCCTAGAAAAAAAACCTTCTACTTTCTATTTAAAAACTATACTTTCAGTTCTTATATCAGCTAAGTCCATTTAGAAGTCAGTTTCTATGTCTACTTATCCCATTTGGAAAGTCGATTCTTACCAGCAAAGATAAGTAAGGTAAACCATTGGACTTCTTCACCATGTTTTATTATTCTTTTAGCAGTGCACATTTCTACCAACATGAAAACGGGACTAGAGTAGGCAGACACATAGACAGGAAGGCTGCTTTGTTTTACCTCCTTCTGATTCTGAGATGCTATTGCCTGCCTTACTCTTTC